TGCGTGCGCACACACATCCTTGCCTATGTTATACACAGACTAAAGACAACGCATCACATGATGTGGCCTCTCATCGACAAAATGTATACAGTAATCGGCTAGTCTTTTAAGATGCCACAAGACTCTTTGTTGTATTTTGAAAACAACCATGCAGCGCCTCATCACCAGTAGTTCCAGGGTGGAACTAAATACGGGTGGGGTGGGACCCTATAAATAAGTCAGAAATTAAATTGTTAAAGCAAGAGGGGGGGAAATCCCTATGGAAAATCACATTTCGAAATTTCCTGCTCTCTGGTGCCATCAGGCATTGCATGTTTATAGTGCATTCAAATTGCTGTATCTTTACTATTGTGCCCTAGTCCCCAGTCTCTCCTCTCCTATATGCTGCAGTGGCTGCACCATAGTTTAGTGGGGACACTGCTCCAGCCATAGTTTAGTGTTGCATACACACCATCCATTTAAAGCACAAGGGTTTCCTTAAAGAATCCTGGGGACTGTGGTTTACCCCCACAGAACTATAATTCCCAGCACCCTTAATAAACTAAAGCTCCCAGTATTCTTTGGTGGAAGTCATGCTTTAAACATGCTTTAAATGGAGCACTGTCACCAGTAAACTATGGCTGGGAAAACTCAAGAATTCAGAAGAAGTCAAACCAATGTCTATTGTTTCCCCTTCATTTGCTGAAGAATATTATGGTAGTTACCAGATTATTTTCAACAAAAAGTGCTGTCTGGCTCCCTGTTTGAAACCCTGGGAAGCCTCTGCCAGTCAGTCAATTCTGAGTTAGATGGACCAATGGCTTGTCTCAGTATAAAGCATGTTTCCTTTCTCAAAGAGACTCCAAACAGTGATTTATATTTGGAAAAACCTCTCTTGCAGTTGCATTGACATATCAGCTGGAATCATTGGGGAGGGTAGCTGACATATTTTAAGCTATAGGGAGGCAATAAAGTTATTGCAAATGTCAGTAGTTCAGTTCAGGTAGATAGTCACCTAATCACAAAGGGGATTAGGTAATATTGTGCACCTGTAAGGTGCAACAATCTCCTGCATTTTGTTTTGAGTTTCTAAGCAAAGCCCCATTTCCTAGATCAGGGGTAGGCAACCTAAGGCCAATGGGCCGGATGCGGCCCAATCGCCTTCTCATCCCGGCCCATGGACGGTCCAAGAATCAGCATGTTTTTACATGAGTAGAATGTGTCCTTTTATTTAAAATGCATCTCTGGGTTATTTGTGGGGCATAGAAATTTGTTCATTCCTCCCCCCCAAAAAATATAGTCCAGACCACCACATGGTCTGAGGGACGGTGGACCGGCCCATGGCTAAAAAAGGTTGCTGACCCCTGTCCTAGATGGAGATGGATTTCTTCCATACACCTCTTGCTCCATACAGAGCTATTTTGGCACATAAATAATAGTTGGGTTGCTTCTTTATTTGGTTCAGGGATTTCTATCCTGCCCTTCAACAAATCCCCAGGGTGGTAAATTTTCTATTGAGCCTTGAATGAATAGAATCAAACTTACTGTCAAACCCAAATGGGTTAGACTGGGCCAAAATGTCCCTCCTCCCCAAAGCCCTTGCCCCAAAGTCCCTGCTCATCCCTTTCCTCCTCCACTGCAAACTCATCCCTTCTCTCTGTTTGGAGGGAATTGTCCAGAAGACCAGACTGGAGACCATGTCAGAAGCATTCCTTTGATTCTTCTTGTTGATGCAGCAGCTGCTGTCTGGATCAGGCTGCTGGTCCATCTGTCAACCTACCCACCCGAAGTCCATGTCTTCTGAGGACGTTCATAAGCCCCTTCCTTGTTTGTGTGTGCATGCATATACCCCCTTCTTGGTCAGCCTTGTGCATCCAGGAAAGTAGGCTGTTTCTAACCAGAGCCCATTTCAGCCTAACACTCTTGGCAGAATCCCATTCGTCTTTCTATAGGGCTGGTTTGTACTCGTATATGAGACGAGAAGAAGATGCTGCCTTGTGGGTAAGAAAATTTATCAACAAAACCAGCATGTTTGCATTTTGTCTTATAGATAGAGCGGTAGCTGTAAAAGGATCAAACAGCACTTCTTGCAAGTTTGGTCTAGATCCCTTTTAGGATCCAGTTAATCAGTAGCATAATATACCTGTTACTATGATTAACAAACAGAGGTTTTTTTCAAATTTACATGGTAACACATTCCGGCTTTTGCATTCATCAGCTGCTCTGTATACCTGAAGGAGCATCTCCACCCCCATCATTCACCCTGAGGTCCAGCTCTGAGGGCCTTCTGGCGGTTCCCTCACTGCGACAAGCGAAGTTACAGGGAACCAGGTAGAGGGCCTTCTCGGTAGTGGCACCCGCCCTGTGGAATGGCCTCCCATCAGATGCCAAGGAAATAAACAACGATCTGACTTTTAGAAGACATCTGAAGGCAGCCCTGTTTAGGGAGGTTTTTTAATGTTTGGTGTTTTATTGTAGTTTTAATATTTTGTTGGAAGCCGCCCAGAGTGGCTGGGGAAACCTAGCCAGATGGGCGGGGTATAGATGACAACAACAACGACAACAACAACAACAACAACAACAACTCTGATAAAAATGAAATCATGTTATTTCCAAGGTGGCAGTTATAGAGCTTTGAGGATGCAGTGCTCAGAGGGGCTTCATTCACTGAAGCTAAATGATGGCTGAGACCACAGAATCATAGAGTTGGAAGGGACTGTGAGGGTCATCTAGTCCAACCCTCTGCAATGCAGGAATCCTTTGCCCAATATGGGGCTTGAACCGAGATTAAGGGTCTCATGTTCTACCGACTGAGCTTTCCCCCATGTGCTGTTAATGTGTCCAGTGTGTACACCCATAAGTTATTCCTCTTTGCTAACATTGTTAGATCTGTTGGTATCTCCGTAGCCATTATTGATAAGTCTGACAAGCTGTGGTTCTCAGAACTGAAATGTTTAGCAACTGGCTGCTTCACCTTTTCTTTTTTTGGAAAAGATTGTAGATTTGTGGTTTCTAAAACATCTACATAGGCTGGCTGTAGTTTTACCTACGTACTAGATGTGGCATTCAAAAAAAATTGCACTCTGTGATATGGCTTATATTGTAGGGCCTGCAGGTGGTTGGCATTTGTTTGGTTTTCGAAATAAGCACCTAGTCCTTACTGAGGCTGAGAAATTCTTGGAAGTATATAAGGTGAAACCTCCAAAATGTTACTTAGTGTGTGCTTGTGTGGATATTGTATGGCAAGTGACATTTCTTAATAGCTTTTTGCATGCACGCCCCTCTCCGTGGCTATGACAAGCAGGCTATCTTATGGCAAACATACACATAAAACACATTTGCATGCCCATTTTTTCAGAGTATGGACTTTTGAGAGTTAAAACATTCTGTCAGAATCGGACACAGAGCACTGGCTGTTCTGCTTGTAGTAGAGGTGTATGCAAAATGTCACCGTATAGCATAAATATTGTGCGGCTGGAATGAGTGCAGCACAGATAGCTTGGGTTGCCCTCACAGGTGACAAGAGTTAATGCATTACAATGATCCACTGAATCGACACAGCAGTGGTGTAGCGTGGGGGGTGCAGGGGGGGCTGGCCGCACCGGCCGCAACATCTGGGGGGGGCGCGCTTGCACTCACAGCTCTCTGCCCCTACCTGGCTCACTCAGGGTTAGGGGGCGCAAATTACTTGCCTTGCCCCGGGTGCTGACAACCCACGCTACGCCACTGCGACACAGTGACCCACTTTGTGTATCTGCATGTGTAGTGGACAGGGAGAAGGAGTGCCGTGAACCAAGTCCTTTATATATAGCAGGACCTGGGTGTGTGCGTGGTGGTCCAGAGAGAGGGAGAGAGAGCGCACAGCCATGCTTCGTCAGCCTGCAAAACTGCTCCGCAGCCGCTGCCAACACGGTCTCGATGAGTGCGACTTTCCCCTCTGCAGTACGTCAGTTGCACAGAATGTTCTTTGTGCTGGAGCAGATGCCTCTTGTATGCAATCTGGCCATGTTTGCAAAGCTGGGACCAGGATGGGGGCAGGGGAGGGAGGGAGGGAAGCGAATGGGCTCAATTACGTAAGTGGCAGCGCAGCATTTAGGCAAAGAGGCCCTGATGATGCGTAACAGTTTGGAGGATCTTTAAAAATAGCGTGTGGGGTGTGTGTGTGTGGCTGCGTGGAAAGTCCAGAGGAAGCCAAATGGTGCATTGCTTGTTGCAAAAGTAAGCAAAGGGAGCGATGCTTCTTCTGAATTTCTGCGTAACCTTCTTCAGTGCCCTGCGGATCCTGTCCTTGGGCAGGCTCTCCTTTCTGATTGCTAAACCTTGCAGCTTTCTTTCCATCCTCGGGCTCGTCTCCTGGTCCTGGTCCTCTCCTACTCATTATTCTGGACCACTCCCCATTCCCATTTGCTTTCCTTGCTTCCTCATCCAACGACTCTTTTCCTAGGCCCCTTTTTCCTATCCCAGGTTGGGGTAATAATAGTAAAAATTTTTATTTATATCCTGCCCTCCCCAGCCGAAGCCAGGCTCAGAGCGGCTAACAACAGCAAAATGATAAAACATTCTAAAATCTTTTCATTATAAAATGAATTCCAATCAGATAAATGGCAACCATTGGGCTAGAGTTCTGTAAGGATTGCCAAAGGAGGGAGTCAGACTGTGCCTTGGTCAAAGGCCTGGTGGAACAGCTCTGTCTTGCAGGCCCTGCGGAAAGATGTCAAGTCCCACAGGGCCCTAGTCTCTTGTGACAGAGCATTCCACCAGATCGGAGCCACAGCCGAAAAAGCCCTGGCTCTAGTTGAGGCCAGCCTAACCTCTCTGTGGCCTGGGACCTTCAAGATGTTTTTGTTTGAAGACCGTAAGTTCCTCTGTGGAACATACCAGGAGTGGCAGTCCCGTAGGTACGAGGGTCCTAGGCCGTATCCCTGAGGTTGTTACCCTCACCCTGTTCCATGGCTGTGGTTGCTATGGAGACGGAATGACCAATGAGAGGCGAGGTGGGTGGAGGAGTCCAGTAGGGCATTCTACAGAAGGTTCCTGGTTCAATCCTTGGCATCTCTGCTTAAACCAGGGTTAGGGAACCTTCTGTCTGAGGGCCATATCCAGGCCCCTGGCTGGCTGGCCTAATTTCATGCTGGATAGAAGAAGTAGAGATGGACAGGTAATTATTATTATTATTAATATAATGGGTGTAGTGCTGCCTACTGAGATCAGTGTCATGGAAGGGCTGGAGCAAAAGATTATTTCCTTCTGCTACAAAAGATACAAACCCTATTGCTCAATGCATGTATCTTGCAACCACAAAGGAGTAGAATAGAAGTGGATTCTCCTCCTTCTTTTTCCTCCCACAGGCACCCCCAAAAGGCAAAATACAGACATGGATTTGTCCCAGAAAACAGAGTCTGCCCCTGGCAGGTGGGGTAGTTGGAGGCCATGTGGGATTTGCTCCACATATTGCTCCGTTTGGGAAAGACTCTGTTCAGCATAATGGTGGATCCGAATCTCAAATCTGCTGCATCTTGCAAGGAGAATAAACTTTTCCTGGATAGCCGTTGTGGCTCATTGCAATGACCATCACAAAGCTGGACTCTGGTTCTAGCTTTACACTTTTTAAGAAAAAAAGCAGATAAACTGACTTCAGTTATGTCCCTGAGGTTGTTCCCCTCACCCTGCTCCATGGCTGTGGTTGCTATGGAAATGGAACGACCAATGAGAGGCGAGGTGGGTGGAGGAGTCCAGTCGCTTAGTGCAGAAGTGTCTGCTGACCACAGGAAGAAATGCAACGTAAGCCCTTTTCCTACTTTCCTCTACAACCAGCTTTAAGGATTCAGCTACCCGTCACACGTGGCTAATGCCTGTTTAACACCTAAAACTCAAGGGTGGGTTTTTTTTTAAATGGTCCGAGGGCCACTTTCCCTTCTGGGAAGCTTTCTGAGGGCCACATGCCCAGAGCCAGATGCAAAAGTGGGCGAAGCAATGCATATAATTTTTACCTTTGTGCAGGAGGTTAGTTTCTGCACACAGCCACTCACCTTTCTCTCTATCCCAACTTCAGGCAAGCAAGAGGCATTCTCAGAGTGCCAGGATCCATTGCAGTCCGCTTTGGATGTGAAGCAATGCTCAGAAAGGGGTGTGAGCAGTGGAGAGAGTGAGCTTCGAGAGAGTGCCATGGGCCAGGAAGAGAAGCCGCATACCGTACCCCTGGCCTGATGTTCCCCACCCCTGCTATAATAATAATAACAACAGGTTTTATTGTTATCATCAGTATTAATTATCTGCTCTTCGCCCTAAGTCCCCAGGAAGCCTTCTATTTCGCCAGGCATAGGCAGACCATTAAGAATGCATCCTTCCACAAAGGTTTATTGATGTCTGTTTTTGGCTCTTTTAAATGGTTTTTGCTGTATGTTTTGGTTTATATTGCTGTAAATGGCTTTGATATACAGTGGTACCTCGGGTTGAGAACTTAATTCGTTCCAGCAGTCCATTCTTAACCTGAAACTGTTCTTAACCTGAGGTACCACTTTAGCCAATGGGGCCTCCCACTGCTGCCATGCCGCTGCCGCGCAATTTCTGTTCTCATCCTGAAGCAAAGTTCTTAACCTGAGGTACTATTTCTGGCTTAGCGGAGTCTGCAATCTGAGTGTCTGTAACCTGAAGCGTCTGTAACCCGAGGTACCACTGTATCATATTTTTCCATGTATAAGACTATGTTTTTTGCTAATTCTTTTAAGTCAAAAATTGGGAGTTGTGTTATACACTGATGGTGAATGCACAGGGGTTTGGAGTCAGGCTCTGGTGCAGTTGGCCTGGGCTTGGAATCTGGAGGGGGTGACATGGGCTTGGGTTCAGGCTCTAGCTCTGGCCCAATTTCTTAATTTAGGGTTCAAAAAGATAGGGGTCATCTTATACATAGGGGCGTCTTATACACTGAAAAATACGGTATATTTTCTGACTGCCATAAGAATAAATCACAACCAACAATTTACCTGCCCTTGAGTCTAAGGGCAACATTAAAACGCAATGAAATATGAAAATATGAAAAAGAACTGTTTAAAACCAACGTAAGGCTCTGACGAACCCTTTGTGATAAGCGTGGGGATGAGAACCAGTCCACTGACTCTGCATTGCACCATCTCCTTCTGTACCTTCTCTCTTCCCTCTCCTTCCTGTTGCCGACTCCTCAACAGTCTGTCCATTTCCAGGCTGCAAGCAGAGGGAGTCGGGGGTTGGGGAGCCTTCCCGCAAGTGCCGAGCCCAAGAGATCGGCATTGTGCTAGCTCCTGCCACATGGAAATATGGCGGTGCAGCTGCTGCGTAGGCAAGAGCAGGAGGCGCAGGCATGCGGTCCAGGCAGTTTTGTTTTTTTTTTTTAATTAAAACCCCCAAATCCATCCCTCCATCACTTTCGGTAGCTCAGCCAGGGCTTCCCCTGAATGCAAGTCAGTGCATCAATCTGCGAGAAGAAAGAAGCTTGTTTCCTTATCATCCAAAGCATGGTCTAGGCCAGGGGTAGGGAGCCACAAGTCAAAGGGTCCTCCAAGCTTCTCTATCTGATCCTCATTACTCACCCCACATCACATACACCTCCCCTTCTTCTCCCCCTCCCCAAATGTTTTCCCCTGGCTGGAACATATCCTTCAACCTGGAGAATGCCTTTTGCTTGCTAGCATGGAGATTTGAGGGAGAGTGTGTGTGTGTGTGTGTGTGTGTGTGTGTGTGTAAAAACTAGCTCAATGTACACAGGGAAAGCATGCATTTCTTGCTCCACCTAGTTTTGCCGCTGGCTCCTCCCACCACTGTCATGTTACCCCAGCATGTGGCCCTCAAGGTTGTGAGACCCCTACTCCTGTTCTACACTGTTCAAGACCTGCCAGGGGATGTGGCTGGGAGCCAGGGGGGTGGGATTGTTGGGGGGAAGGAGGCACTTAGAGAACAAACCAAAGTGTTGACAAAATCAAATCTGCTCGCCTTAGCACCTTCCAATGTGCTATGATTAGTTCAGAGATGCAGATGAAAGGCAGTTTCTCACCAGCTCAAACAGGCTGAGCGCCTTGCCACAAAAAGGGATATTGGCTGGTCATCTTTCAATGTGCCTGGTTCCAGGGAGGTCCTTGAAGGTCAATGACACCTTTTTCCTGCCCTCCCAAACAAGGCAGCCACCACTCCTTGGACCCAACCTGCCACATCCATTTGTCAGCCATGTCTCTTATCAGCCATGATGGGCTTGGGTGGAGAGGACATGGTGCTGGCCGAAATCCTTCAAGCAGCTTGCCCACATCCTCAGATTGCAACCGTGGAAACTAATCCAAGACGGCCCGCAGCCAGATGGTGCTCTGGACACTTCCTTATGTGAATGCTGGTATCACTTTTTGTATGTTTATGAGCGACTTTAACCTTGGAGTGCCTTGCAAATTTGTCACTGCAGGCCTCTGAAAGTACAATCATCTCCGTCTTCTGGACAGATGTTACTAGCCCTGAGAGCCAGTGTGGTGTAGTGGTTAAGAGCGGTAGTCTCGTAATCTGGGGAACCGGGTTTGAGTCTCCGCTCCTCCACATGCAGCTGCTGGGTGACCTTGGGCCAGTCACACTTCTTTGAAGTCTCTCAGCCCCACTCACCTCACAGAGTGTTTGTTGTGGGGGAGGAAGGGAAAGGAGAATGTTAGCCGCTTTGAGACTCCTTAAAGGGAGTGAAAGGCGGGATATCAAATCCAAACTCTTCTTCTTCTTCTTCATCACTTGGAAAAGCTCTGCTGGACAGCTACTTGAAGATGCAGTGGCAGCAGCAAAGTTTTTGCCACCTAGTCCTCCTCCTCCACCACCACCACTTTATGGCAGATATGGCAGTGATGGACCTGTGGGTCAGAATCAGTCTTGCCACCGATTTGCAATAAAATGGGTGGAGGCAAGTTCATCTAAAGTGTGTTGGGGGAGGAGAGACAGGAGAGCTGAACTATGCATTTTCATTTGAGATTGCTTCTTAAAGCTGTTCTCCTAGCCAATAATAATGGTATGTCATCTAGCAAATTTATTTTATGAAATAAAAAAAGTTAATTAAAGAATACTACCCCTCTTAGTGTCTGGGTCTTTCTGGGCAATCCTTGTTTCTGTACACGTGTTCCTTATTTGTTTATTTAAATGCTTCCAGACCACATGCTCATAGATAATATAACAAGACAGTATACAAGATAACAATAAAAAAATAACATGTCAATAAAAACTAGTTAGTAAAATATTTTTCATTCCAAAGGCCTGTCTGAACTGCACAGAGCAATAAAAAGACACATGAAAGCAAGCAAGGTGTGACTCTTCTCAAAGTGTCCCATCAGAAGATGTCAGGGACTAAAGTGGAGCATAAGGAATCAGGTGATCCTGCAAGTTTTTGGGCCCAAGTTGTTTAGAGCTTTGTGAATTAATGCAAGAAGCCTGAACCTGGCTTGGCAATGAATTGCTCCTCTTGTTGCAGGGACATCACATTTTGCTCCTGGCGAAAGGAGATGCACACCATGCTTCTCCCACACAGTGATGGCCCTGTGATGGCTGCATGGTTGTCACAACACCTCCTCCTGACATTGTTAGCGGTGGGATGAGCAGCACCCTTGTTCTGAGCTAACCTCGCTGCGCAACTCCAGCGTCAAAGTGTTCTTCTACCCGTATCACACCCACCACCCCACTAACAGATGGGGCACCACATGATTGCTACTGAAAATCATTACGCAAAGGCCAAAATGAACATTGTGACAGGCTTGGATGGCATACAAGGCCTTCAGATTGAAGAACTATTTGGAATTCAAAATGAAACAATGCTATAATACAGGGATGGGGAAGATTTGAGCCTCCAGATCTTCCTGGGGTACAGTTTCCATCACCCTTGACCACTGGCCGTGCCGATGACAGCTGAGGGCTACACATTTGCCACCTCTGTAGATTCAACTTGCTCAACATCTACAATGTGACTACAGATTCAGGTAGGTAGCTGTGTTGGTCTGATGCAGTCAAAATAAATTAAAAGAATTTAAAAAATGTCCAACAGCACATTAGAGACCAACTAAGTTTGTTTTGGGTATAAGCTTTCATGTGCATGGTATCTGAAGAAGTGTGCATGCACACAAAAGCTTATATTGCAGAACAAACTTAGTTGGTCTCAAAGGTGCTACTGAACAATTTTCAAAAATTTTTAAAAATTTAATGTGACTACAGTGGTACCGCGGGTTAAGTACTTAATTTGTTCCGGAGGTCCGTTCTTAACCTGAAACTGTTCTTAACCTGAAGCACCACTTTAGCTAATGGGGCCTCCTGCTGCCGCCGCACCGCCGAAGCACAATTTCTGTTCTCATCCTGAAACAAAGTTCTTAACCTGAAGCACTATTTCAGGGTTAGCGGAGTCTGTAACCTGAAGCATATGTAACCTGAAGTGTATGTAACCCGAGGTACCACTGTACAGTGTCAGATTCAGTGACATTTTGCTTTCCCTATATTTATTTACCCTACCTTATTTATATAGCTGCCCTATAGCAGAAGTATGCTAGGAAGCCAGAGTGGTGTAGTCGTTACAGTGTCAGACTAGGACCTGGGAGTTCAGGGTTCAAATCCACACTCAGTCCTAAAGTTCCCAGGGTAACCATGGGCCAGTCACAGCCTCTTCACCCACTTCATAGGGTCATTGTGAAGATTAACTTAGGGGTGGGGTGAACCATATACTCTCTGGAGAAAAAGGTGGGATATAAATGCAATAAGCTCTTCTGCTTACCTGCCTGAGAAAGCTGGAGGGGACAGGCAGATGGAGATATCAGCCAACAACCTGGCACCCAGAGATCTCCATGTGGTCACAAAGGGACCCGTGCAAGTCACAAAATGCACCTGGCGCCTGGCTAATTTCTAACACTGCTCTGACTTTCAGCCTAACCTGCTTCACGGTGTTTTTGCCAGGATAAAATAGGGGGAACCATGTGTGCCACCTTGAGAAAAAGGTGGGATATAAATGCAAACAAACAGACAAGCAAATGCCAAGGCATAAAAGGCTTCAGTCTGGCTCCAAGCTATCTTACTAGGAGCTCTCCGTGGTCCTGCCTTGCTCCACCAGGTGCTACTCCAGGGGTCCAGGACAGAATGTATATGACCTTACAGTGGTACCTCGGGTTAAGAACTTAATTCGTTCCGGAGGTCCGTTCTTAACCTGAAACTGTTCTTAACCTGAGGTACCACTTTAGCTAATGGGGCCTCCTGCTGCCGCCGTGCCACCACCGCACGATTTCTGTTCTCATCCTGAAGCAAAGTTCTTAACCCGAGGTACTATTTCTGG